ATATAAAAAATCGTATTTAGGCCCTAAAAAATCCTGAAACTTCCTCACTTACCTTAGCATATGCTTGACACATCGAGTATTCAATTGTACACTTTTCGTATTTTTTCCAGGGGAAAAATAAAAACTAGGAATAAAGAGAAAAATGAATGGATTAAAATGGCAAACTCCGCCCCTAAAAGTCCTGAGCTCCTCCCGTATACGTGATCATATAGCTCATACATACAAAAGTACGATCATGTATATGTACCCTTCATGGATGCTCCATTTTCGAGGAATGCTTTTGTCTGGGGTAAAAACGGTAAAAATCTATGAGATACCCTAATACTTTTACAGTCGACTTTTATTTCAGCACCAACACTTGAAACAGTTCCAGAAAACTATATAATCAGCTAGAATTCTTTGCGTGGAAATGATTGCACGCACAACGGAAACTTTACTGCTGTCATTCTCTTTCATACCCATATACAGTTTGGTTTTCCTTGCTTTCTTCGATAGTTCTACATCACCAATCACTGGGCTAGCTTAGTTCACAATAAAACAAATCGATGTGTAGGTGAAGCAAGGGCAGGGCTTGTACTCTAAGGGCGCGGACGGCGTTAGAACACTCCTGAGTGCGAATGCGGTGCTAACTATGGTAAAAGGAAAGCTGCTAGCAACTCCTGCACGCCCTCCCGGTAAACCAACATTGGGCACTGTAATTGACTCCGGCGCATCTTGTAAGTGCTTATTAAGTGCCTATCGCCTGGCCCGATTTGATGCTTGTAAGGCCTAAGAAGAGTGAATGAACCTTTAGCCGCTGCTTATAACCTCTCAGCAAGCTCTTCCTACTAGTTGCACAATTTCGTAAAACGGAAACCCCGACGGAGGCGACATGCGTCTGATGCAGCTCTCCTTTATTATATCGAGATCTTAGCTTTGTGATTGAAATGTTCGAAGATATTAAATGGATACCAAGTTTTTCACTGCACTAATGTGTTTAGACAGTATCACATTTAACGATATCTGTGCCGGTTTCTGGAAATAAATAAGGGCACAGAAATTTGTCTGCTCTAGCTCGTACAATCACATCCATATTCCAGTTCCAATAAATGATTTGAAGATTGATTTTAAAATGACAGCTTGCTATATACAGTGCTGGCCATAATTATAAAGACACTTTAGAAATCGTCTTAATTTGCGTTCTTGTTGATGAATCTGAGTGAAACTTTGCTTTGTAGTGCATGTGTTGGCCTGCCATGACCACTCAAAAAGGCTTCCAATTTTGTTGAGTTCAAACGGAGAAAAATAGAGAAATTCGAAAAACCCCCTACCCAAAGTTGGACAAAATTTCAAAACACCTGGTTATTTGAACACCATCACTTTCCCTGACTCTGAAATTTCTTTGTACAGTTGCATACTGCAACATGAAACATTTGCAACATCCGCGACCTGTTATCCTTTTCAAACAGGAAGGTTCACCGCATTTTTTGCTTTCAGAAGCACTAAAGGTCAATTTGCATCAACAAACAATTGGTTTGAGAAATTTTTTAAGAACTTGTTTATCTCAGATGACACTCACGGAGTCCACTGAGTCTTTTCAAATAAATCCAAAAGCGCTTTCGTAAAGTGTGCGTAATCGCTGATATGGACGGACAACTTCAACATAGGCTTGCCACGCTTTTAAACCACAAAACTCAGTTTGCAGTGTCCATAAAATGCTGAACTTGATTTATTACTGCCTACATGGTGACGTAGCTTCCGCAGCAATTCAGATTTTTTCTAATTGTGCGGTAGCAATTTAGACTTGAAAAATTTTCTACGAATATTCCCTGCGAGCAATGGATTCGAGATAATCATAAATTTCATTATTTTACTCTCTGTTTCATGTCAAATTCTACCCAAAGAATGAGATTAGCTAAGATTTTCAAGTTCTGGGCGGTGTCCTGTTTTATCTCGTGATCTGAGTTAACTATGATTATGAGGGGTGCTCCACTCAACAATCAGTGGATGACAAGCGCGGCTGAACCATTATGCCAACATCGAAATTTTTCCTAACTATGCACACAAGTTTAATGTTGTACAGCCGACGTAATGGCTACAATGCAGTATTTTCTGTTGCTTGAAAATTGAGTTTTGTGGTTTGAAAGGTGATAAACTTATGTTGAAGTGGGGTCTGTCCGTCAATATCAGCGATCACGCAGAGTTTACGGAAGCGCTCTCCAACTCATTCATCGAGAAGGCTCAGTGGACTCTATGGGTTCCTTCTACTCCGCCGCGCACGCCGCGTACGCTGCAGCACAATGGAAATATGCTCACGGCAGCAGAGCTCCACTTTTTTTATGTATCTCTATATTTGCTGCACATTCGTGTCCCTCAATAATGTTCCTTCACATTTTGCATTTCTTCCTTTCTTTTGCCTTGTCTATCCTGTCTATCCTTTGTCTATATCAATGATTGATGGAATGACTTAGGTTGTTGTGTTCCCTCTACTTTTGAGTTCCACATTTTGCATCGTAACTGACTCCACATTGCGTCATCTGGTTGTATATTGGTAGTTCATGGTTGTATGGTTGTATGTTGTATCTGGTTGTATATTTGCGCTGTTAACATCTCCTTACAAACACATCACTGGATGAACTCTTTGATTGCCAGTATTGTCATTTTACTCGTGAGAGTATGTAAAAAAGGAGAGTAACGGGGAGAAAATCTCTACAACCTGCATTCACTCCGCATTCACAATGTTAACGTATCTGGGGTCAAAACTGTAGAGAAATAAATGATGAAATGACGCTTGTAAAAATAAGCAATTATGGAGATACATAAAAAAGTGGAGCTCTGCTGCCGTGAGCATATTTCCATTGCACTGCAGCGGCGTACGCCGCGTGCGCGGCGTTGTATGAAAGACTCCCATGACTATCATCTAAGATGAACAAGATCTTGAAAACTCCTCAAACCAGGTTGGACACAATTATAAAAACACCTGTTTTTTAACTCCTTCGCATCTCCTAATTCTGAAATTTTTTTGCACAGTCGCATGCGACTGTACAAAAAAATTTCAGAGTTAGGAGATGCGAAGAAGTTAAAAAAAAACAGGTTAAAAAACAGGTGTTTTTGTAATTGTGTCCAACTTTGGGTAGGGGGTTTGTTAAAGAAGATTGACTTTTGGAGCTTCTGAAAGCAAAAAATGCGGTGAACATTTCTGTTTGGGAAGGATAACAGGTCGCGAATGTTGCAAATGTTTCATATTTCAGTGCAACTGTACAAAAAAAATTTCAGAGTTAGGAGATGCGAAGGAGTTAAAAAAACAGGTGTTTTTATAATTGTGTCCAACTTTGGGTAGGGGTTTTTCGAATTTTTCTATTTTTCTCCGTTTGAACCCAACAAAATTGGAAGCCTTTTTGAGAAGTCATGGCAGGCCAACACACGCACTACACAGCAAAGTTTCAGACAGATTCATCAACAAGAACATAAATTACGACGATTTCTAGAGTGTCTTTATAATTATGGCCAGCACTGTATTAGGTGGGTCTGAAAGTTTGTGCCATTTTTTGGACCTATTCTAAAATCGTTCAAAATAAAGATATATAGACAAATCGTTTTAAAACATCCGATGCAGAATTTCTTCCTCTTTCCAGCAAATACGATTATCTTGTGACTACTTTGAAAAGCGCTGAGATAATTGCCGAAAACTAGAACCCTTTATTTTACCATGTCTAACTTTCGCTATTTTTAGAACGAGTACTCTAATGACAACCTGATAAGGCAAACCTTATGCAAATTGATGCATTTGCATCTCTCTAGCATGCTTCCTGAAATTATTAAAATAAATTTTCTGAAGTGACCAAATTTTATATTTGGCTCATTCTAACCTCTCAAAACATCAAACATTGAACAGTTTTAGTACCATTCAATGCATCTTTCCCTCCTATTTCTGCCGGCTACATTTTCTTCACGAAACATGCGACTTTTGCAGACAAAATCGCTGTACTTCCCAATCCTACGGGTGCGCAAGGGTGCAGTCCAAATAGCAAAATCTATGCATTTCAACGCCGTAATCGTTCATTTACTTCGTTACTCTAGTGCCAGTAATAACCGGGTTTTTGAACTCCAATATTTTGAGGATTTCGCAGTGTTTGGAGCAATTATGTGTCACGCGACTTTTTCAAAATTTAATGCTCTAGTAGAATAATTCAGCAAAACTCTAGAAAAGAAGCTGAAGATATGCAAAAAATTGCATTAATTTGAAAAAGGTTTGCCTCATTAGCTAATTCTTAGAGCACCTTTAAAAGTCTAAAATGAAAATTCTGAAAATTAGCGAGCATGGTGAAAATAAAGCTTCTAGTTTTCGGCAACCTTGTCGAAGCAGTCACAACATTAACATAACCACTGGAAGGAGGAAGAAATTCTGCATAGGAGAGTGTTGGAGCGATACGTCTATAATCATTGTGAACGGTTTCAGAATAGGTCTAAAAAACGGAACGAACTTTCGGATCCACCTAATATATGAGGTTGTCTCATAAGTCCCGTCCGTTTTAAAAATCAATAGCAATAAGTCGCGATTTCTTATATATGAATAGGCATCAAAATACTATTCGATGGAATCAAGCAAGCTCTACAATAAATGGCGTTCTTACTTTTGCAACAGCTTCGATCCACGTTGAGTTCAAAGCCAGACTCAAGTGATTCAAAACCCAAAAAGTCGAAAAATTGTACTCCCTCCAAAAAAAATCTTACAAAAAATCTAACTTGCTCACTTAAACCTTATTCTCATTAGACATTTATATACGCCTGGAATGGAGATGCTGGTGCGCCCGACACTTCATTTGATAAACCCCGTACGTGATAACTTATAATAATTATAACATGTGTCAAGCTTGTTGGAATTTACATTTCACTAGTTTATTACTAACTGTCAGAATATTTTTGAAACATGTTTATCAGAATATACGCGTGCAGTCAGTGCTGATATTCTATTACGCATTAGAGTTATGCTGAAAGACTGTTTCCCAAATCCTCAGAAGTCAGGAGATGCGGACTTCCTCCTTCGTCCTTGATAGTGGACCCGGTCCGCGTGCCTCCTCGCTTTCAGATCTGCTTGGTTCATTTCTCGCCGTAAACGATGAACGATGATGGCTTGCTCTTTCCTCCCCGGTAGATGAGTCGCTAGCGTGATTTTCCCTCTTCGCTAAAACGGCTGATAGGCCCCGTTTGAGTAGTTCTCCCTCCTCGGGAAAACCAAGAGGTAGGCTCTGTTTGAGTGGTTCTTCTAAGACAGGCAAACAGAGCTCACCTGGCGGTTCTCTCTCCTTTAGGGAACCGCCAGGTGAGCTCTGTTCACCTAATTCTTTTTTCCCGGTGGGACTGGCAAATGGAACTCCCTCGGGCTGCGCCTTTTGGCTGGGTACGGTCTGCGGAGGAGACCTGTCCTTCTTCCTGGGCTTAGATTCGATGGCACATGTGACTGTGGTCCATTTCTGCGCGCAACAAAGATAAAAGGGTACAGTTCTCCTGTTTTGCTGAAATGAAATAATTAGTTCTTGTCCATTAAGATAGATTACAGCGTTCGAATCTCATAAATTTTGGAAAAAAGTTCGGTTATATAGACGTTTGAGCAGGTCGAAAAAGTGGTTCGGACGCGCATATACTAGAATAGCATTGACCGCGCACTGATTTTAAACGCACAGACTAAAATTGTTCATGGCTGGCTGCGACGACGAGCAGCGTTTTAGCTGTGCGTCGCATAGTCCGTGCGGTTGAGGATTCGCTCATACATAATCAAGCATTTTACTCATGTCCAAACTGTGCTGACTTAAGCGTAAGAGCACAACGACTTGTAAGGAAATCTGTCAAAGCTGTTATTTACATACCGCAACCTCCTTCAGCTCTTCGCTGGTTGGGTATCTGTATAAATGCACAAAATCATTAAGAAAGTTTTTTGAGAACTTATCGTGGCTTATCGCTCAAATCGATTGTACAAATGTGAAATCACAAGTTTTGATATGGACTTACCATGGTTCACAGCGTAGGCGACAAATGTCAACGAATCGAAAGCGTTTAAAACAAGATCTGGTTTGAGTTGAGTTTCGGTTCTCAGCGAGTTTCCGGTGTCAAAACTGAAAGATCAAGACTTCTTGATACTAGCTACATGGATTCCATTTGTACTCCTGCTTGCTTAATGATAAGAAAAAATGAACGAAAACGCCTGCTATTTAATGTTTTCATCGCATATATGTTTTTCCGAATGGAATGGCAGCTAATCAAGTCAATTTATGCGTTCTTTTATCACTTAAGTTATGGCATCGCAGTACATCAGACCAACCATGATTAGATCTTCCTTGGAATTTCCTCAAACCACTACAGTGATTAATGGTGTAAATGCGCTTCGATCGAAGGACAATTATTATCTCCACGAATTTCCCGTTCTTCTTGAGTCCATTTTTGCAAATTTGTGTAGGGTTATTCTTTTTGTTGCGAGAGCACCGTCTCTATCTGAACCTGACCACAAATCATATCTCAAAGCGTGAAATTCAAGTTCTTCGGACTTACAAGGAATAAGAAAATGTAGATTCGCATTGGCTTGTCTGCTACTTGTGTACTCACGAGCCTTTTATAGAATTTGATGAACGCTTAAATAATTGCCTAATTGTGTCGTACTAAATTTATTCTTTTATGACTTTTAGATGAGAACTGTTACAGTGTTTTTATTTGTGAACTTTCAATGAAACTTTGTAAATGCTTTGAACAAAACTCAGCACCACAAATTAATTGTATGCAAAGACAATGTGCCACTGTGCGCGCTGTCAACGTCTTCTAGATCAAGCGCACTTTCATCCTTCTCATTCTGCTCTCTCTCTTTTGAGCCAGTACTCAAGCGGTGGATTCCTTAGCTTAGCACGATTTTATTTTTGAGTCTGAGCCAAAATGACCAGAGTTGGAGCTGTGTTACCTTTTACTACCTTACACTTAGTCGAACACTAGTCTAAACTCTATAACTTCCACATGCCTGTCAGTTGGGGGTCTAAGTCAAAAAAGTAGTAGCAATCAGGATTTGCAGCTGAAAAATGTTGCGATATGCTTTTGGTGGCAAATTGCACTGAAGAAGTAAGAGCGCTAACTCATGGAGTACTAACTACTGTATGAAAGTACAAATCACTTCTCATTTTCTTGACCTGGCTACATATTCTAAATTGCTAAAGTTCTCTCTGTCTAAATGAAAACAGTCATTAGTGAGTGCACTGACTCAGCCTGACATGGTAATGCTGTTTTGTTGAAAACTTGGTGCGCAGCCTTGAGTTCAAAAATCAATTTTTCTGATGGTCCTTCGCAGTAAAAGTTGTGCAATCGAATGGCATAATTGTGCAGGATTTGAAGAATGCAGTGCTTCGCCGTTTTTCTTACTTTTTGTGACACTTTTTTCGTGACACTTTTTTTTGTGACCAATGACACTCAGAGAAAAAAAACCAATTAGGCTCAAATCATTCCTTTGAAATCTGCGTGCTTCGGCTATTGAATCATAAGAATAATGCTTGCCGAAAATATTTTTGACATAGCTAAGGGATGTGGCACAACCCCAGAAAAGGTATGGCAGCCACACCTTTTTGGGGTTATGCCACCTTTTCCCTTTAACAAAGTCAATGGGGTCCGCCATAGCTCATTCACCTATCACCTGTATTCCCGTTGTTCATCGTGTTGGCACGATGCGGGTACAAGTGATGCCTCTATTCGTCCCTGTCGCGAACGATTGTTCCGCGCATCGCCCCAGGAACACGTGGAACGCTCTGAAGGACTTGATTTGAGACTTTGTGAACATATCTAACCATCGTGCCGGCAGTCTTCCTCGTTCGCGTTTGACGTCTAGTGGTATCCGTTACAGCTGTTGCAGCTCTCATCCACCGATTGTCATTAAAATGCATCACGTGTCCGGCTCACCTTATGTTGTTCTGCTTGGCGCACGCGGCAGCGTCCCTGATCTTTGATCGTTAAACGTAGGGTGGAACTTCGTATTCCTTTCCTCACTTGCGTGAGTGTTCACTCATCACTCTCTCAGCAGCACGTTCAATGACGCTGACCGCGTGCTTATCCTGCTTCCTCATTATCCATGTTTCTGAAGCGTACGTGAAAGCAGGAATAATTGTCTAGTTGAAAAGGGCGCGGAGCTGGATGTTCTTGGTCTTTTTCATTACGTCCTCAATTGTATTATATGTTCCCGATGCTGCACGTTTCCTCCTGCCTATTTGCAAAGCTATATCGTTCATCACATTGAGTTCGACCTAGGTAAGTGTAGCTCGAGCATTCGGTGATGTTCGTCCGATGAGCATAAAAGGAGCCTCAGCCACTCTTCCGTTCCTCATGAACATCGACTTCGTTAGACTCAGCCGTAGACCGATTTTTTCACACCGTTCGTCAAACTGGGCCAGCATTTGTTCCGCTTGCGTGATGCTCGGTGTTATCAATACAATGTCATTAGCAAAGCGAAGGTGATGTAGTTGTCGGCCGTCGACTTTCACTACCATTCTATAGTCGTCCTCACCTCACTAGTCGGTCGGTGGACGAATTCGAATTCGAAGTGGAGCAGGCAGGTCGCGGCAGAGCACGGTACTCTAGCTCTACGTTTAAATTCACGCATTCACTTTGCGTTTTATTCGCCACTGCTCAAAAGTTTTTGGTATTGTTTTAAAGTTTTTGACCTATATCGAGTTTTTGTAATTGCTGAGCGTTGTCTCCTGCCACTGTGCTTGTATTTTGTTTGAGTGAGCTTTTGGAAACGATAAAGATGGCAAATCTGAAGCATACAAATCACTGGAGCAACACTTCTGCATTTGTTACTTACAAGAGAGGTTTTACAGCATGAGTTCACCATCTGTATCGCTTCTCCAGGCTTACCTGCAATCAAAGTTGAAGAAACGAGATTAGCAACACGAAACAACTTCCGACAACTACAAAATTGTCACTTTCTACAAACATACTTTTAGTATAGAGACTAGCAAGTAACGACTAATAAAAACGATAAAGAAACATGCAAAATCGTACAAGGGGGGGGGGTCAGATGCCACGCTCTGCCGCTCTCTCAGGCCTGCTCCGATTCAAATTTGAATTTGTTCACCGACCGACTAGTGAGGTGAGAACGACTATAACATGACGTTCTCCAGAGTGGCACTGAATAGTTTTGGTGATAGAGTATCGCCTTGTCGCACGCCTCTCTTCACGTCAATGATGATGTCCCTGTAGAATGCTGTGATGGTTGTGAAATCGCCATAAAGCTCACGAATTACCCTGATGTACTGAGAGGAAATACCTTGATCACTCAAGGCGATGACGGCTTTAATCCCAACCAAGTCAAAGGCCTTCTTCTGGTCGATGAAGGTGAGACAGAGCACCTTATACTCTCATGACATTTCAGTGAGCCTTGACGCCGTTATTATTGTGGTCTATCGTGCCGAATCCTCTTCGAAATCCAGCTTGTCGGGGCATACGTAATGAAGACGGTCAAGGTCGAGATTGGTCCACATCTTAATATTCGCAAGCGTCCGATTTCCGATTCGGGTTGTTAGTTGTTCGAAGGAAATGATGTTCATGGCCAAACTCGTGTTGAGGCTACTCCATATCCCATTAGCTTATTGCAGCATTTTTAGCAAATGATATTTATATGATTCGATAGCATGGTGCTCGTAGATTTCACAGGAGTGATATAAGCCTAATTCGTCTTCTTGCTCTAAGTAATATTTGGTGAAAGCACAGCCATTAGAAGCGGAAATTGGAACAAACGAGATTTTGGCTTGCTTCTTTCACGGTTTAACGGTCTTCTAAATCGGTATTTCTAAGCTGAGCAAAGAACGAGTAGTATGGGCATTTAAACGATGGCGCTACAGCACTCCACTTCCAGAAACCGCATTTCCTTGGTTTTCATCACAAGGTCAACTGTTTTTTTAACTACGTGTGATAGTATTTATACACTGGAAGTACTGAGCTGAGCAGGTAATATCTCCTTGTTCGAGCGTTTTTTGCTCCTGTAGATGCAAAGTTCGCAGTCAAATCCGTCGTGGTGATTTTATGAATGACTTAAACTTTGTTCTGAGGGCAAAAAGGGCCAGTTAATTCGCCTTAGAGACAAAGTTAATCATGTTCGAGTATGATTATTTCACCCAGGTTTAGTATCTGGAAATTTTCAGAATCCGCTCAAACTTAGTCCACGAGGTTGTTTTACTTGCTTATTATGGGTAAATCACTAGTTACGCTTGGTAGGGCATCTTTATTGTGCTACGGTGTGTCTCATGCCCTCCATTTCCGCATAATGGGATTACCTGACATACTGTTAACGAATATCTTGCTATGTTGATATCGTTATTTATCAGTAGTATACGACTTCATTACGACTTCTTTTTGGCATCGTTTATGTAAAGTAGTAGACTTTTGGTCACGTTTCTGAACTTAAGTCCACGGCTTGCACATTTACTTGCCAAACATATCGACGACCTTGCAAAAGGGGGAAATGCGGAGCCAATTTTGCGGGCCAGAAGCCAAGTGAATCCGTTTGATGCGCAGGTTCTAAGGAATCCACTCAACGCATCCGTTACTGCTTTGCATGTAGGACTTACATGCTGGTAGCAGGCGCTAACACACACACACACACACACACACACACACACACACACACACACACACACACACACACACACACACACACCACACACACACACACACACACACACACACACACACACACACACACAGTCACCCCACCTATTAGATTTTTTGAGACAGTCCTATCGGATGGTGCTCGTTTAACACCTTCAATGCAGATCGAGTGAGCTGACAAAATATATGCGAACGACATAATAGTAAGTCATTATAAAATCAGGCATGCAGGAAAAACATTCAACAAATTAGTTGCAAAATGAAAATCGAAGCGAAAGGTGCTGGAAAACAACGAATTTAGCTAGGAAAAGCTGTAAACTGCATGAATAATAAACTAATAATAATAATAACTCATAATAAACTCACTTAGTCCAGTT